ATTGGTGCAACAGGCCCATTACGCTTGTGGGCTACTTGAAGTAGTAACAAGTTGGTTTTTGCAATCGCTAGCGATAGCAATATTCGTCATGGGAACTTTTGCTTCTGGGATATGAAAATTTTAAGGTACAGTTCGTTTGTAGTATCTTCAGAATTGAAGGAGTATGTAATTTTGTGTCGACATCTTTTTTTTAACATTTTTAATTTTTTTCTTTGCATACAAGAAAGCTGTTATTTACCAATTATTTATTTTCGTTGGATTATATATGGTTTCCGGAAGTTAACGCATTTAACTTTTAGTTTCGCTTTTTCGGCGTAAAGTATGATAATTTTACTCTACTCATATGCCCGAATACGCATCATAAGTGACCTATGTGCTTCCTAAGTTGCCATTTTTTCATTCAAATAGATGTAACTGAAATGATGGATGTGTACTATACTACTTTCATGTCATTGCTTTATTTCTTTATTTATTTTTATTTTTATTTTTTTTTTTTTGCGTAGGTATAAATTGTTATTTCTTGCTGAATTTTGGAGAAAATATTGCTTTAAGAACGTGGAATGTAAAATAATTTTATTGAAAAAAGAAAATACCATCATTAATTTGGGCGAACAGAGAAAATATACATCAATATTTGGGTCAACATCTCCCTGATTATATGAAGGGTGAATATATTAGTATTTCTGTATCAAAAAACTTAGCTTTTGTCTTCAGAGATACAATGATTCTAGTCCAAGTCAATTTGTTTTATTGAAAAACAAAAAAACAAAAAATAAATAAAAAAAAAACAACTGAAATGTTAGACATACTATTTTCATGTCTTTCTATTTGTATCAATAGGTACTTTTTGCTTAACTTAAGAACGTTGAATGCAAATTAACTTTATTGAAAAAAGAAAATAACGTCATTAATTTGGGTGAACATGTGGCTGATTATAAGAAGGAGGTATATTCCAGTATTTTTGTTTAACATATTAACTCACGAGAAAATGTTCGTACATTTATCATCTAGTATTAATTATTAGTTGATGATTAGTCTAAAACATTCAATACAACCATTAAAAACTAACTAATATCGTCGGGTATCGAACTCCCGATCGCCTATTGCCCGCACCTTACCAAAACAATGAAGCGGCCTAGTCGACTAGGCTATCACGGACCCAGGTCGATCGTGGAAAAAATAGCATTTAAAAGACTCGGACGATGCGCGGGACTTATCACAAGAGTTGTCCTTGAGACGCTTCGTAGCTTCTGTTTCTAGGATATGAGAGAAATGAGCTAAGCGCATTACTGTAGGAGCCATGGTTTGCACTGTTTTAATGTGTCTCGAGGTTCATCCCAGCATGCATTCGCGATCGCGGCAGTTGAGCTAAGGCAATATTTGCGTATCCATGAATTAAATCAATCAATCGAGGTCTGATTATGACTTATTTGTCCATAACGAGTCCTCCAGAGCAATTTTCCACCTTGTACGATGGTTATTATGTCTTTATTTCTATTTGTAAAATTTGAGGTGGGATAATGGCGGCTTCTCAAGAGCATTGAGGTAGGCGATCTTTTGCACCAACGAACAGAAAACTGATAGCGAAAAATAACCAATCAGAACCTCCCAAAAAAAAGAATTTGCCCAAAATCGGAACTTCGTGGTTCTGCGCAGATTTACCAGTCAGACACGACATCTCAAGGTGGAAAAAAACTCGCTGAAAGCGAATTTTAGAAATCAACACAACTTGACGTAGAGACATGATTGGCTAAAAAATACAACGGTTTTTGATACATCGGAAAATCAACCAAAAATCGAAGACTGGGCGAAACGCTCAAGGTCGCAGAGGCATAGGGAATCCCATAGCGATAGCAACAGAACGATTGTAAAGACAGGGGAACTCCGTTCCCATGCCAAAACTCCGTTCCCATGCCAAAAAAAATAAAAAAAAAAACAATTAGAGTTTGAGTCATACCCTTGGTTCACAAAAAACCGGGAGATTTTCTTTATTCAATTGCAAATTTCAATGGACACAGAGTCTTGTTTTAATGTTTTGTATTTTATAAAAAAAAAATAATGATCCTCCAAACTTTAGGTTTCTAAGTCGAGCATGGAACATAACATACTCATATCACTCACAATCAGTCTATTGTGTATGACGTCATTCATTACACTGATGCACAATATTGTTTCTCTCGTCGTGGTTATAACATTCTGTGCGGCAGATTTATTATTTTTTGGTATCATGAAAAGAAAATATTCGTTGTCACGCGATGCTCATTGGCAATGCTATGTAAATCCTACTTTTCCAGTCGTATAGTTGGATTTCATTTTGCAATAACGAACCACTATCTCCGGTTCTTCCATAAAAACACCTTTCTGCACATGGAAACGAATGGCATAAATGTCGTTCCTAAAATGAGCCTGGAATAGCGGCTTTTTTTTTTTTTTTTTTTTTTTTTTTTACTACTTCAAATAGCCCTCAAGGGCTAATCCCACGCTTTAAGTCCCATTCCCCCTCCGTCCCTACTGAACCAGTCCCAGGCAACCATTGTTTGAAACCATCAAACTCGGGTCGCCTGGCCGGGAATCGAACCCGGGACCTCCCGATCATAGAGCAAGCGCTACAACCACTACACTATAGGAGGCCATTATTGCAAAATGTGGTCCAGTTATGCCACTGTTGAATCATTATATTTCATGTTTTTTATCGTCATAGAAAAAGAAGAAGAAAATACAAGAAAATAAGATAACGCGCAACGTATAATATAATTAGGCTAACTAAGTCTGTGTGATGCAGCCCAGTTGAGTGTATTTACCTAAAATCAGCTTTTCAAAATTAATTGTTGCCAAACGTCCTTTAATTATTCATATTTTAAACAGGAATATAAAAATTATTCCGACTGAAAATTCTCTGCATACGTATACATTTTTTTTCAAATTCCACTTGCTTTTTTAAAATTATTTAAGAATTCCGAGTTAAAAAAAAAATACGATAGAAACACAAAAAAGGACGGGTTCCACCAGTGGCTTTGCGATGTATCGATTGATCTGCCATTTAAACCGATAGGAAAGGATCGATAAACAGGGTGTTCGCAACGAACACATTCATAATCGATTCTTTACCATTGCTTCAAATGGGAATACCTCGAAAGTTGGCAATCACGCCTCGCTATTGCTACCCACTAAGATTACTTGTGACAGGAAGAACGCTGTCTTACAGTAAGTAGAGAATGAGGAGAATGTGTTCAACGATAAAAACAAGAGATGTATCCCCGATCTTTCTCCCCCTGTGAGATTCTTTTGGAATTAAATATGCAAGTTAATTTAAATTTTGTATCAGTTTCACAATGTGTTGCACGGTTCTTTTTCTTTAATTCCTTTCTTTATAAAGACTGGTCTTTCATTGAATTCTCTTATCCTAGCATGAGGACAACTCTAGTTTGCTAAAGTTAGTTTACAAGTGCGTGTTGTGAGTGATAGGTTGTTGAATGGCCTAGTGCCTCCGTAGGCACTTGCACTCTCAACTTATCACGGAAGAGATCATTGACCAATTTGTCCGTATTTTCATTTTGTGTCTTTTTTAGACCGAGAGTGTGCACTGCATTTCTGCGAAGGTATTGTTCTTGTTCATCGAAATTTTCTATCGTTTCTCGTTCCAGTAATTCGATACGCGAATTAAAGCCCTCTTTAATTGCGGTAAATTGATTGCCTATTATGAGTTTTATAAAGTCTCAATGGACCACTAGACAAGACAAGGTACGAATTTCAGGATTCTGATACATGTTCCTTAACCAGAATTACACGTAAAACACGGCCCTTGCATCGTAAAGTACCGAAATCATTTTGTACCTAATATATTAACGTTTTTACTTTGCATATTGGTTAAGGAAAATTTAAATTGTCCGATCACACGAAACTCGATACTCTATACTTGAGTCCAATTGCGTACTACAACGGTTTCGACAAGCTTCTCAATCCAGCACTGTTCATTTCCCACCCTGTGTTGTTCAAACTATAAACAACTTGCTAAAGCTGAGCCAAAGCGTCAAGATTGAGGTTGCAAGATTGTCACATCGCAGAGAGTGTCATGGTAATATTTCGTGCGCGTTCTGACTCATGTAGACCATTGAGTTTTCATGAGCGGGAGGTTTGAATTCACGAGTCAAGAAACATTAAATATACTGGTTAGGAGTTATTTCAGTGATTTTTGTTGCGCAAATCGTGTTCTACGTGACATTTTGGTTGAGAGACATGTATCAGAATGCTTAATTTCGTACCTCGTCTAGTGGTCCACTACATTTTTTTTTACAATTTTTATTATAGATTCGGCAAATTTATTAATTACCGCATTTTCTGAGAGACACTTCATATCGGCTTCTTCGAGTTTAGAGGCCGTCCGCAAATTACGTAATACACTTAGGGGGGGGGGGGTGTCAAGAGGTGCCTTACGTAAGCCGCATTTGTTTGTCAAAATTTTTATTTTCTTAGATTTTACTTCTTTCATATTTCGTTAATTTAAAGACTGACTAGTCCAAATTTAGTTTTTTTATTTTAGAAGCGTAATGTTTTTTTATTAAAATGTAATATTTCATACTAAAGGCGTTTTATCGTATCCGCAAGATTTCTTGGGTTCGCCAAACACTTAAAGCACAATTCGACGTTTCCCGCACAAAAGAGCGTAACCACATTTCAATGTTGCCAAATTTACCCCACAAATTGCATTTTTACTCGCAGAATTTTAGAATTTTAGTTGAAAATTTCACTGATTTTTCTTCTCATCTTATGTGAAAATCAGAACAATTTTGGACAAAAATTGCGCTTCTGGTTTTGTGTAAAAACATTAAATTGTTTGAGTCAATTTGGCAATCTTGAAATTGAGTCACTCTTCATCGTGCGGGGAACGTCGAATTTTGGAACTTCACTCGTCGATTCTGATGGTATTATTTTGTCGCCTTCAAGTATTTTCAATTATACCTCCTCAATCAGCATGACTTCGATTACTTTACACAGTGACCCAAATTATCGGGAGAAAAAAGGAGAGGAAAAAAACCTGATTAGTTTCCTCTTGCATGCCATTACGCTGTGCAGCAACTTTTCGGAAGTGGCAGAAAAAACCAGAAATTTAATCGGAATACGTCCAAACAGTTCCGAATGCAATAACGACTTCAGGCGGTTCGCGTGTTGACCTGGTCAAGAGCGAGACTCACAAATTTGTGCGCCTCGCGATCATGCAACTTCGTGGTTTTTTTTAATAATTAATTCAACAAAATTTTAATTAAAATACATTTTAGTCATTTTAAATAGAAAAAGTGTGCCCAACTCTTGGACTTTTTAGGGAATATCAGGTAAGTTATTTTTCGTTTTCTTTGGATTTTTCTTTGTTTGTTTTGCCCCTTTCCCCTTCTCTACACTTAATTTATCGTTGTTGTTGGGAGACGGGTATTACTAAGTATTCAATTTTCTTATGCCATATCCAAAGAAGTGATCTGTCATCGATTGTTTTTTTCTTCTTCTTCTTTCAATTAAAATATACAACGCAATAAATTCGTTACATAATTATAAATACTTCAGCATCAAAAATTGTAAATCTGCAGAAAAAATTTTGCATCACCGTTCTTGCTGTACTGAAAAATTTAAATTTCTACCTTAAGGACCTTTTGGTGTAACTCCATGACAATTTGTCAGCATAAAATTTCATACTGGCAAATTTTAATCAGATGCTATCATTCGGATTGTGATCGTTTGTTTCTTTTGAGCTTGTGACAATGCATAGAAATTTGATCATTTTTATTGAACATGATTCAGTTCACTCAAATTCTGAGGGAAAGTTTTAAATTGATTGACTCAAATAACGTGGGCCACGGAGTTGATGATACCCATGCGTCTTCCACGTTGGTTTCATTGATAATTGATGGATTGATATCCACATTTTAGATTGTGTTTAGAACACCTAAGACACCATGGATAGTTGGAAATGCCGTAAGGAATTACGTTCAACACTACGTTTCCTGGAGGTTGCAAACTCATTTAAGGTCAGACGTGGAAACTTGGTGCTCATGATAGTAAATATAGACGTAAATATTTTCGCTGGTCTATTTACTTTCCTAGAAAACCACCAAAACACAATTCATTGACCAAACAGACTGATTTGGGTGTCTTAAAAACTTATATGACATCAATTGGATTGTATTTAGCAAAAATGAACCAGCGCGGTTACAGCGTTGTAAAAATAGTGCTTCTCCACAATTATCTAAAGAATCTCCCTGAATAGCAAATACTTTTGGCTTCCCACCAAAAACGTGTTGATTTTAAAGGAAAATAACTGTGTAAAATTTCATACAGGGTTATCCAGAAGTCTGGGACCCCCCCTTATAACTTTTGAAAAAAAATGCTGGAGATTTGAAATTTGGGGAATGTTCCTAGGTCAAAGGGAACTACTTTTTGGCGTACCCAAAATTTGGGGGGCGCCCCCCCCCCTGAGGGGGGGCGGACCCTAACTTTTTTTTTTCAAATGGGAACCCCTATCTTGTGATACATCATTCGAAAGGGCTTAAAAAAAGAAAACTTTTGGCGCAAACCGATTGTCGATACCTCAATTTTTAACAAAATGGCGGCCAAAAAATGGCGGCTCATTCAAAAGTCTGGGCCTCCGCTCATAACTCATGAACAAAAAATGCTAGGGATTCGAAATTTGGAGAATATTCCTAGGTGAAAGGGAACTACTTTTTGGCGTACCCAAAATTTCGGGGGGCGACCCCCCTGACGGGGGGCGGACCCTAACCCTTTTTTTTCAAATAGGAACCCCTATCTTGTGATACATCATTCGAAAGGGCTTGAAAAAAGAAAACTTTTGGCGCAAACCGATTGTCGATACCTCAATTTTTAATAAAATGGCGGCCAAAATGTGGCGGAAATGCGTTTTTTGGTTATTTACCGTCGGATTCGCTTGAAACTTGGTTTCCACAGGTTTTCGAGCACGAAAAAAACAACCAAACCACGGGGTGAGTCCTGGGTGGTTGAAATGACAAGTCAGGAAACACGATTTTCAACTGGCTGAGAGCACCGCATAGGAAATCTGACACATTCCGATTTAAACTTATTTTCCCGCCATTTTTCGGCCGCCATCTTGGAAAAGCTCGGGTATTTTGCAAATCCAATATCGTATTTGTTTTTTCGTGCTCGAAAACCTGTGGAAACCAAGTTTCAAGCGAATCCGACGGTAAATAACCAAAAAACGCATTCCCGCCATTTTTTGGCCGCCATTTTATTAAAAATTGAGGTATCGACAATCGGTTTGCGCCAAAAGTTTTCTTTTTTCAAGCCCTTTCGAATGATGTATCACAAGATAGGGGTTCCTATTTGAAAAAAAAGGGTTAGGGTCCGCCCCCCGTCAGGGGGGTCGCCCCCCGAAATTTTGGGTACGCCAAAAAGTAGTTCCCTTTGACCTAGGAACATTCCCCAAATTTCAAATCTCCAGCATTTTTTTTCAAAAGTTATAAGGGGGGGTCCCAGACTTCTGGATAACCCTGTATTGTACATAGGTATTTTTAAAAGAAAAAGAGAAGTCGCACGATTTTGAAAACACTGTGATTGCGCTGGTTTCTTTTGGCTATATTTTGCTAAATGCGATCCAATTGTTTTATCAATCGAAAAATAGGACACAATAAGCATGGTACTTTGATGTAAAACCCAGTAAAAATTTGTTAAAATCAAACGCTTTTGCACATTTGTAAAATGAACACTTTCCACTATTAGAATTGATTCATTGACCTTCACTTATAGGTCACTGAATGTTAGGACGAGATGTTGGACGTGACATTTTGCCTATTAATTACTTTATTGCTAACAATTATCACAAGATCTATTATTGAACGATCGAGAAACAGAAAGATACATGCGTTCATGAAGACAGTGTCTGGACCAATGACGATACCTTTTGTCGGGAGTGCTTATGTTCTAGCTGGAATCAATCGACTTAGTAAGTCCTTTTTTATTATTAGTGTATTTTCCGAAGGAAATACACTATTGCATTCTCCCATGATGTCGGACCCAGACCTGAGACATTGTGAAGAGCACCGATCACGGGTCGTAGATCACGAAAATATATGCTATTCAAATTCATGTGTATATATATATGTATGTATATATGTATGTATATATGTATGTATGTATGTATGTATNTTCTAGCTGGAATCAATCGACTTAGTAAGTCCTTTTTTATTATAACGTTATTTTCGGTATCCAAAAGCGCAAATTTTCAAAAGCGGAAACCTTAAAACTGAGAAAATGCATGGCTCGAAAGCGCAAACGCGTGAAAGGAAACGGCGCACAATGGATCGAGGAAAGGCGAAGGTCGGACAAAATTTAAAAACTTTAAAAGCTCATAATTCCGCCAATACAAAATTTTGAGGTATTAATACTAGTTTCATTGCTTTCCTCGTGAAATTTTCTTTTAGGTGTACCCCTTAATATTTAAAATGTAACAATTTAAACATCACAATATGCAGTTTTAGTTAAAAAGTTCATGTCCGACCTCTCTGCTTGACTCTATCCACTGTGCGGCGTAAAAGGGAAGCGTAAGCGTCATGAATTCAAGGCACCTTAATCATAGTCATCATATATTTGTATTTTGGCTGCATTTCATGTTACAGATTTCCTGTCGCATTTCATTTCTTTGACGAATGTCTATCGGTTTTTTTTCCAAAACGCCGCACAATTTATTAGGATGTTTTTTTTTTTTAAATTTTGCACTAAAATATTTCAATTATTTTTCTCAAAGAGGGAAAATCAAAACAAAGAACGACTCATTACAGGAGGTGCAAGAAAATTCTCTAATATATCTAGATAAGTTGCGATTCTACGACCGGTAACGTTGTAAAACGTTAAAACAATCAATGCATTTTTCGGAAAATTGACATTGCACAATGAAAGTCAGGGATAGTTTACTTCATCAACTGCATAGGCAACTCTGGAATTAAGTCAAAATTAAAGAGAAACAAGCAAAGCTCCCCTCAGTTAGAGGAACGCTCAACAAAATTGTATTATGAGAGCTGGATGCAACTATTCGGGCTCGACGGATGCCCGTGTTGCATACGCACAGAAAAGAAGGCGCTTTGAGTCTCCGGGCACTCATCGCCTTATACCCACGGCCCGGTTCGTGGCGTGATGACGGGCTGTACTTGCCGGCCGTGCGAAAGAAAAGCACCGTATGGGCCTCCAGAATTTGCCATATCTTCTTCAAAAAGAAACTCAAATCCTGGGAAAATCATGAATATTTTTTTCAAAATTTTTGAAACAAATTTATTTAAAATTTAATGACTTTCCTCAAAAATAAATATTTTGAGTGTACTACGAGAATTCAAAATGTCAAAGTGCCTCCAAATTTTCATCATCAGATGTCAGCAGATGATCAGCATTAGATGTGTTCTTTCTACATATAACGAGCCTTGAGAGATGGTTGAAATCTTATAAACGTCTCTCTTTTGATACGTAAAATTCATCCGATTCTTATTTCAGTCACCTCTGTATTCGTATGAGCGTTTTGATTCCCAGATTTGTTCCGGGTGATTAGAAACTTGGACGTTATGTATCCGGGATCTAAAGGATTTTGGATTTTTGGCGATCCATACTTGATAACAAGTGACCCATCAATTTTCAAGGTAAAATTAACCAATATTGAACTTTTTCAGGAAACTTAGCTTTTGATGGCCTATCTCGTAAATTACTTTTAAATCTTCAAAAGCTTACGGAAACAGTTTGATAAGATTCTATCGCTCTAGTAACCCGATTGCAGTAACATTAATGTGTGTACGAATATAGCCACTTGCTAAACTCGCTTCCTTCTTCCCGAGTATGTGAAAACTCAGAGCGTTAAATTTCAACTTATAATCATGACTTTGTCACACAAAAAAATGTTCTTTGCAAGGACCGGACTTTCTTATGCACATGGTGTTGGTTCAGCGCTGATTAGTATAATAGTACAGTAAAATCTTGTTACGTTGAACTCCGGTTATGACGAAATGCCGATTAAGTTGAATTTTTTGTCGTTCCCTACATAATTAGACTTAGCGAGGTTTTACTATATTAATATCCGTCATTTTTGGTAGAAGGGAATCATAGCGCCTCTCTATAAATCGTAATTATAAAGTACTTAAAGTAAATGTTAAAATGCACGGTTTCGTAACCATGTCAAACAAATTTTTCCGCGCTGATCAGCGAATACAGTTAAAAAGTAAATTTAAGTATTCCAAGAGAAAATCAGTATAACATGGGCACATTGACACGCTTGCACATTCATATTATCATTCTGTGGTTGGTTCTGAATTTTTCAAAATTTGTTCCGTATTTCTCCGGCACTCCCGATAATGAAATATTACTGCTGGCCATTTTACGGATAAAAATGACATTTTGTTTTTAAAAACCAAGGAGCATGTATTTCGCACATCTTTTTTTACATTCTTCGTGAATTAATCGAAATTTTATTAGTTTGATCATGTTTTCAGGCAGTTTTGGGAAGCTCGCAGAATATCAACAAAACGCGGGATTACGAATATTTTCAGAAGCATTGCCATGGGATATTCACAACGAATGGTAAGAACAGAAAATCTACCAAAACAAACTATACACTTGATTGCTAGGCAGTGACTCACATTGGATCGAGTCAATAGGAAAGGTCGGACATGAAATTTTTGACTAAAACTGCAAAATTTTGATGTTTAATTCATCACATGTTAAATTTCAAGGGATGTCTCTAGAAGACAATTTCACGAGGAAACCAGCGGAACCACTTTTAGAACCTCAAAGTTTTGTATAAACGGAGTTATGAGCGTTTAAAGTTTCCAAATTTTGTCCAACTTTTTCTATTGACTCGATCTAAAGTTTCGATGCATCACATACATTTGCTTTAATCATGATGGATGAAACTGTAGCGGAGATATTGAGACACCAAAACCAAGAAATGCCCTCTTTGCACCCAGCGATTCGACTAAGAGTTATGTTGTCATGGGAACGGAGTTCCCCATGATATTACAATCGTTCCGTTGCTTTTGCTATGTGATTCCCTATGTCTCTGCGACCTTGAGCGTTTCGCCCAGTCTTCGATTTTTGGTTGATTTTCCGATGTATCAAAAACCGTTGTATTTTTTAGCCAATCATGTCTCTACGTCAAGTTGTGTTGATTTCTAAAATTCGCTTTCAGCGAGTTTTTTTCCACCTTGAGATGTCGTGTCTGACTGGTAAATCTGCGCAGAACCACGAAGTTCCGATTTTGGGCAAATTCATTTTTTTGGGAGGTTCTGATTGGTTATTTTTCGCCATCAGTTTTCTGTTCGTTGGTGCAAAAGATCGCCTACCTCGGTGCTCTTGAGAAGCCGCCATTATCCCACCTCAAATTTGAAAAATAGAAGTAAAGAAATAGTAACCATCGTACGAGGTGGAAAATTGTTCTTGAGGACTCGTTACGGACAAAGAGGTCAAAATCAGAGCTCGATTGATTGATTTAATTCATGGATAAACAAATATCGCCTCAGCTTACTGCCGCGATCGCGAATGCATGCTGGGATGAACCTCGAGACACATTAAAACAGTGCGAACCATGGCTCCTACAGTAATGCGCTTAGCTCATTTCTCTCATATGCTAGAAAAACAGAAGCTACGAAGCGTCTCAAGGACAACTCTTGTGATAAGTCCCGCCCATCGTCTGAGTCTTTTCTATGCTATTTTTACTCCCACGCTCGCCGTTCCGTTATAGCCTAGTTGACTAGACCGCCTCATATTTTTGATTAGGTGCGGGCAATAGGCGATCGGGAGTTCGATACCCGACAATAGCAGTTAGTTTTTAATGGTTGTATTGAATGTTTTAGACTAATCATCAACTAATAATTAATACTAGATGATAAATGTACGAACATTTTCTCGTGAGTTAATATGTTAAACAAAAATACTGGAATATACCTCCTTCATATAATCAGCCACATGTTCCCCCAAATTAATGACGTTATTTTCTTTTTTCAATAAAGTTAATTTGCATTCAACGTTCGTAAGTTAAGCAAAAAGTACCTATTGATACAAATAGAAAGACATGAAAATAGTATGTCTAACATTTCAGTTGTTTTTTTTTATTTATTTTTTGTTTTTTTGTTTTTTCAATAAAACAAATTGACTTGGACTAGAATCATTGTATCTCTGAAGACAAAAGCTAAGTTTTTTGATACAGAAATACTAATATATTCATCCTTTATATAATCAGGGAGATGTTGACCCAAATATTGATGTATATTTTCTCTGTTCGCCCAAATTAATGATGGTATTTTCTTTTTTCAATAAAATTAATTTACATTCCACGTTCTTAAAGCAATATTTTCTCCAAAATTCAGCAAAAAATAACAATTTATACCTACGCAAAAAGTAAATAAATAAATAAAGCAATGACATGGAAGTAGTATAGGTAGTACACATCTAACATTTTAGTTACATCTATTTGAATGGAAAAATGGCAACTTAGGAAGTAGAGTACCTTTATAGACAGAGTATGGCCATTTCTGTTCCGGTTTTTCATTGGTCGCGAGCGAACAGGCTGACAAGAAGCTCTTAGGGCCGTAAATAAACAAAGAAGATGGCTGTTATCAGTAAGCAAGATTGAGGTTATGCACATCTTACATCCTCCTGTGATAAAGGTGTGAGGCGGTTTAACGATAGTTTTCGTGTTTTTTTCGTGTGCTATTCGTAGATATGCTAGTTTAAATTGTTACTGCCGTATAATTGAAATTTTTGTCAAATTTAGCCTCTTATCGATGTTACGGTGAGTCGCCATCTTGTTTGTTTATTTACGGCCCTAAGAGCATCATGAAGCCTAAAAACTCGTTGACCAATCAAAAAGCGGAACAGTTTTCCTGTAGTAAAAAGATACGAATGGTCATACTCTGTCTATAAAGGTACTCTATTAGGAAGCACATAGGTCACTTATGATGCGTATTCGGGCATATGCGTAGAGTAAAAATATCATACTTTACGCCGAAAAAACGAAACTGAAAGTTAAATGCATTAACTTCCGAAAACCATACATAATCCAACGAAAATAAATAATTGGTATATAACAGCTTTCTTGTATGCAAAGAAAAAAAATTAAAAATGTTAAAAAAGAGATGTCGACACAAAATTACATAGCCCCTTCAATTCTGAAGATACTACAAACGAACTGTACCTTAACATTTTCGTATCCCAGAAGCAAAAGTTCCCATGACGAATATTGCTATCGCTAGCGATTGCAAAAACCAACTTGTTTTTGAATTTGAATCTTGTCAGTTGTCTTTGATTCGTTTTGAGAGTTGTGAATGTTATGTTTTAGGAACCGCATGGCGTAACATGAGGAAAACAATCAATCCCGCCTTTCGAACCAAAGTGCTTGAGTCTTTTGGAGAAAACTTCAAATTCCATACTGAAAATTTCCTTAAAATTCTACGGAAATATTCCAGCAGTGAGGATAATTTCGACTTGTTTACGACAGTTCATTCCTGCACCATCGATTTAATTTGCGGTAAGCCTACTCCTACTAGCTAATAAACAACACGTCAGAATAATATTCTGAGCATTTTCGAAACTAGCCTTCATTTACTTGTATGATCAGAGTTACTGCAGTGATACATGTCGAATTAAGTGGAAACTATTTTTATCTATTGTTACTAGCCAGGAACTACCAAACCTTTGGAAGTTTTCTTAATATTAATCGTGTTTTGTGCCAAATTGTAGTGAGGAAACGTCTTTTCGATGTCTAGTCCTTGGTTTTTCTTGTGTTTTATTTTTCAGCTTTGGTGCACCTGGAGGCACCCGAAGTTATACCTCCTTTTTTCGTCTCTTGTCCAGAGACACGCGTCTCTCAGCGCAGGAGATGCCAAAGTGCTTTCAATTTTTTGCATAGGCAACACGCACATCTTTTGAGCAGGAAGAGTTGCATAATGGCAAGGCGTCAACAAACCGTTGCGTCTTGTCTAACGCTCAAGATATCAAACCATAGCATATTGGCATATTTTGGTTTTAGGCATATTGTTTTAACCATTATCCAAGCCCTCCGCCAAAAAAGAAATCATATTTTTTACTTTCTCGCTCGCGCTCCCCTAGTTTTTTTTGCCGCAACCTTGAAATGGAATATGATTTTTTACCAAAACCTGGGTTGTTTCTGTAGAAAAGAATTTCAGTTTCCACCCTTGTATACATTTTTCCTGACTCCTTACAGTCACATTGGGGGCGAAGGAACTCTTACTCATTTAATTGTTCGACTCTTTATTTTCCAGAGAACATGCTAGGATACTGTTTGGATGTTCAAAAGAAAGGACTCATCCATTATTCGACGAATTTACAAAGGTAAGTATTAATTGTCAGTTTGAGTTGTTGATGCTCATTGTATTACCAATATGTAACCAATGTCAAGTTATATTCGTGCCGTAAATTTTGATGTTTAAAGGGCCGTTCAATTAGCTTTCCAATTCTATTCAAGGTAAAATTCATCAAAAAGGACCGAACCAACACTTACGAGGAAAAAATTATAATTACGGGTACTCATGCACTCACTTAATTGTGTACAGGGTGATCCAAAAGTCCCTTCCACCCCCTCTAACTTTTTACCTAATTGAGGTAAAGATTTGAAACTTGGAGGATATTCCTACACCGAAAAAAATAATATGCTGCTTTAGCATCTAGGATGTCAAAAATGTGTCTGGTGATCCCAAGATGCTGCCTTTACTGCCCCCGCAGTTAATTTTACATCCTGTGAATGCAAATTCAACTGCGGGGGCAGTAAAGGCAGCATCTTGGGATCACCAGACACATTTTTGACATCCTAGATGCTAAAACAGCATATTATTTTTTTCGGTGTAGGTCAAAGGGAGGTACTTTTTGGCCCCCCTAAAATTTTCAGGGGGGGCCTCCTTGGGGGGGGGGCAACGGCCCCCAACTTTAAATTTTCAAATGGGAAGACCCCCTTTGTGATAGCTCGTTCGAAAGAGCATAAAAAAAGAAAACTTTTCGCGCAAACCCGAAGTCAATATCTCAAACCGTTTCAAAATGGCGGCCGGTTAAAGTTCAAAATGGCCGAAAATTCAAACCGGTTATTTGTCGATGGATTCGCGCGAAAATTTGTATGTAGGGGTATTTTGACACGAGAAAAACGAATTTAACGTTAGATTTTCATAAAAAACCGAAATTTCCGAAATGGCCGCCAGTTAAAGTTTAAAATGGCCGAAAATTGTCACCTCGGTTTTTTGCTGATGGATTTGCCTAAAACCTGGAATTTGAGAGTATTTTGGCATAAGATAAACAAATTTGAACTTAGATTTCTAAAAAAATCAATTTTTGGTCATTTTGAACTTTAACCGGCGGCCATTTTGGAAATTTCGGTTTTTTTGAAAATCTAACGTCAAATTCGTTTTTCTCATGTCAAAATACCCCTACCCACCGATTTTCACGCAAATCCATCGACAAATAACCGGTGTGAATTTTCGGCCATTTTGAACTTTAACCGGCCGCCATTTTGAAACAGTTTAAGATATTGACTTCGGGTTTGCGCGAAAAGTTTTCTTTTCTTATGCTCTTTTGAACGAGCTATCACAAAGGGGGTCTTCCCATTTGAAAATTAAAAGTTGGGGGCCCCCTGAAAATTTTAGGGGGGCCAAAACGTAGCTCCCTTTGACCTAGGAATATCCCCCAAGTTTCAAATCTTTACCTCAATTAGGTAAAAAGTTAGAGGGGGTGGAAGGGACTTTTGGATCACCCTGTATAGCTTCTTGTTATTGGTTCAAATTCTGAAAAATAAAAAAAAAAATAAAATCAGCTCGTAGAAATTGCAGTCAAAATGTAATTTTTCATATATTTCATTGAAAGTTTCAGTAGAAATATTGAATAGAGTTGTGCGGTCATTTTACAAAATTAATGTCTATTAACATATAAATTGCGGCATTGTGCTGGGTGTACCGACTATACCAAGGAAAAGATGGGGATGGGGGAGGGGAGTCAATATAGGTTCGTGATCGATATAATTGCTTTGATTTCATGATTTTCAATCAGTTAGACTTCTTAAAAGGCCATCAATAATCTTTTCATTTATTTGTACCTAGGTCTACCGAAATGATTTTTGAGAGATCATTTAGTTTCCCCTTATGGTCAAGGCTCATTTATGTTGCTCTGGGCAAGATGGAGGAATTAGATGCGGCGGTAAAACCAATGCAAGATATTTGTCGAAAGGTATAATCATCAAGAAATTTCCTTACGTATTCAGTCCATGATTTTTTTTTTTTTTTTTTTTTTTTTTTTTTTTTTTTTTTTATGAGGACAAGAAGTATCTTTGCAATTCTATCTTTCTATCTTTGTATCTTGACAGAAATATTTTGCAATGCCTGCATGCATTTCACAATAATGTTTAAAAGCTTTTTTCAAACGCAGTAAAAAAGTCAGGGCACTCCTTTTTACTATTTTTAAATTTCTGCAGCCGCTTCAATAGAGCCTTTAGTTGGCTAAAAATGTACGTTTAAGTTTTTTTTTTGCACCAGCGTTGGATTTTTTTTTTGTCGTTTCAGTTATTTACGATTACTAATTTAATGGCTTTAATAATTTTATTTTCTTGCTGGCAAATGAATACACGGTTTCTAAAAGAAGTCAGTCTCTTTAAAATTCTCTCAGGTGGCCCATGCATCTCTACATACATACATACATACATAAAGTCGCGATTATAGCGCCGCCTCGCGCTCTGCGACGCCCAATCGCCATTGCCCCCTATCCTCCCAGAGATCATCAGGCAATTGGCACCTTCTGATCTCCTCCTCCACCCCTTGTCGCCAACCTTTCACAGGACGTCCACGCCGTCGCCTTCCGGGAGGAACCCAATCGAAGACCTGCTTGGGCAACCGATCATCTGCCATCCTTCGCACATGTCCATACCAGACCAACTGCTTGGACCTGATATCGTGCACGATGTCCTTTTCCACACCCATTATCTCGCGTACCCTTTCATTGCGGATACGCTCTCTTCTCGATATCCCAGCAGACCTTCGCCAAAAGTCCATCTCGGTTGCCCTAAGCATGTCTTCAGTTCTTTTCTTAAGTTGCCAGACCTCACTCCCGTAAGTTACGATACTCTTCACGATGACGTTGTAAATTTTCCTTTTGGTCTCCTTGGAGATACTCTGGTCCCAGAGAACCCCATTTAGCATCGCGATAGCTTTCCTGCCTTGCACATTCCGATCTTTAATGGCCCGATCCAAATTTCCGTCCTTAGTTAACCGAACTCCGAGATATTTATACTCTTCACAGTCCAGGATCTTCCGGCCATCCTCCAGTTCAATGCTTTGCTGATCACCACCGATAACCAACTTCTCCGTCTTAACCACATTTACTTCCATTCCCCACTTTCGGTATACTTCCACTAGCTTCCGCGTCATGTAATTCGCATCTTCTTCGTCCTGAGCTATTACCACCTGATCATCAGCAAAGCACAGAGTATAAAGGGTGCCATCTTCACGTAGCGGGACGCCCATTCCCGAAAAGCATCTTTTCCATTCCTTTAAAACTTCTTCCAGGTACACTTTAAATAAGGTTGGCGACAAACAACACCCTTGTTTCAGTCCTTTAGTAATTAAAAACCCCAACGATAACTCCCCATGCGATTTAACCCTAGAGAAAGCCCCACCATAAAATTCCTTAATAGCACTAATTAGTCCCCCACTAAAACCCCTTTTGTTCAAGGCTTCCCAAAGTTTCATCAATGGCACACTATCGTAAGCTTTCTGGAGATCCACAAACACTAGATGTAATTCCTGGCCAACTCCCTTCTTTTTCTCTAAGACGTGGATGATGGTAAATAAGTGATCAATCGTTGACCGACCGGCTCTGAAACCTGCTTGCTCTTCCGCTTCATGTTCTTTCCACTCCTCTTCAATTTTTGCTTTCAAGATTTTTCCATACACTTTGCTCAGGGTACCTGCAACCGACAGTCCTCTATAGTTATCACACTCATCTTTTCTACCCTTCTTCTTGTATATAGGTGACACCCAAGACTCTTTCCATTCTGTCGGTACCTTTCCACCGTCCAAGCAATCTTGCATCAGGTATCTCAACCGTTGAAACAGCTTGCAGGTTCCACACTTGATCAACTCAGCAGGGATATTTCCCGGACCTGGAGCTTTATCGTTCTTCAGCTCTCGTACGGCCTTTACCACGTCCTCCATATGGATCTCCAAGTTATGATTATCGTTAGTATACTCCAAGCTTACGCCTCCATCTTGAAATTCAGGTCGCCTTTCTGTCAGTAAATTTTTAAAATACCCCTCCAGTTTATCAATGGATATCGGAGATATTAAGTCACGCTTCATGTCCCTTCGCAGCCCTTTCAGCAACTTCCAGCTCTCAGTGCTTTTCCTTCCTCCTATGTACGTGTCTATTTTGTTACAGCTCCTCTCCCAAGATTCGTTCTTTTTCTTGGTTATGAGCCTTCGTACCTGCGTCTGAGCTTTTTTATACGCCTCTTTGTCTTCTGTTTTTTTAGAGGAAAGGAACTGATGATATTTTTTCCGTTTCTCCTGAATCTCCTTCTCAATTTCTTCGTCCCACCAGTAAGGTTTTTCGCTAACTTTCCTATCATCAGCGACACCAAGAGCTTCCATTGCTGCCGAGTGAATGCAATCCTTCAGGAACTGATACTGCTGTTCGGTATCACCGTCCCTTGATTCGCCCAACTTCTCATCCAAGCGCTTTCCATATAAAGCCCTTACACTTGGATGCTGCAAGCTGTCAATGTTATAGTTTACAAGCTTGACACGATCTTTTTGTTGGTGAACTTCTTCCTGTGCTTGCCTGGTCTCCTGGCTCCCTTTCACTGGGAAAGCTATTTTTGCCCCGAGGAAATAATGATCACTGCCGCAGGAAAGACCTCTCCACACTCTAACTTGCTGAATCTTCATTCCCGTGTCTTGTCTGACAACCACATAATCAATGATTGATTTCAATCCGCGAGTAGACTGAACCCAAGTAAATTTATGGATATCCTTGTGTTGGTAGAACCCATTGAGCACCTTCATGTCCCTTTGCTCACATACGTCAATGATACGGGCTCCGTTATCATTTAGTGCCGCCTCTCCGAAAGGGCCGACGATCTTACTTTTAATTTGACGTCCTATTCTACCATTGAGATCTCCCAACACAATGATTTCCCTCCTGGATCCAATCTTACCAATTTCCTCGTTCAATTCTTCGAAAAATTGGTCCTTCACTGCGACAGTGGAATCATCGTTGACTCCATACACTCCCAAAATGGTGATTTTATGGCCAAACACTGTCATATTCATCTTTATCATTCGGGGGTTAACAGCTTCCCATGTAGTGATGCACTTCCGTAGGCTCTTGCGAATAAGAATTGCAACACCCTGTTGAGCTCGCTGATCTTTTTCCACGCCACTATAAAACAAATTGTATTCCTTTACACTTACAGAGCCTTGTCCTTTCTTCTTCGTTTCTGTTAATACCGTGACATCAAATCCGTGACTCCCTATCTCCGATACCACTTCCGTCATTTTCGTAGAAATTCCTTGTACGTTCCATGTTCCAAAAACCATCATCCGTTTACGTAATTTTTTCCGATAAATCCGTTTATTTCCATTTGTACCGAGGCAATTGTTATTGGGTCTTTTAACAGTATTCCTTTTTCCGAGTATCGGGGAGTTAGCCCGATGACTCAACCCCCAACCTGGAGGACCGGGGTTTGATTTCGGAGTTTCCTCTCCTAGACAGGTTGCTTCCACTACAGCTGAGAGCCCTGTCTGCCCTTCCAATGGGTGGTTCATACGCCTTGAAGCCGGTGACCATCTCCACTACCCCATGAGGCAGGGGTTACCAGCTGGGGTCCGCAGGATTGCTAAACCTGTGACATCAGTCCCCCATACGGGCAAATGCATCTCTACCTTGATAATTCTCTTCGGTTTTTTTTAAATTTGCGAGTCGTTTTGAATAGCCATCAAGCAGGAACTTCACAACCTTTGTTACTCCTGATAAGTTAAAAAGCACATTTTGTATAGTTAAAGAAGAATGAGAAATCCGGAGAACATAGAAGTGCAACTAATTCAATTCTCTTTTTTTCACCTTTTATTCTAATCGTGATATCCCTGAATCATTTGTTTGGAAAGAGAGACTTTTTCATAAATTTTCTAAATCTGTTTTAAATTTATTTCAGATTGTTAATGAGCGCTTGAAACAGAAATTGGATTCACAGAGTGAAAACGCGGACAAGACAGGTAAAACACGGGACTTTATGTATTATGTGTACTAAAACATCTTTAATTTTTTTTTTTTTTCGTGTTGACTTTTTTATTTATTAAATACTCTTATTGTTAGTAAGCTTGAGTTTTTGCTGTGAATGACTAGCATTGACGATTACGCTTCCATTCTGGGTTCCTGAATTCTAAAAAAATGTGGTAAATATATAGGTAGAGATTAATAATCCGAGAAGGCAGATGGCATGGTTCCCTGGGAAAACGTTAAACTTGTGTGCAAATTGCGCACATTCTTGATGTGGGAAAGCACTTTGAAGGAAAGGAACTGAAAGTCGAAGCGCCCTCATCTATTTTGGTATGCAACGCGGGTATCCAATAAGCACAAAAAAGTGGTATCCAGCGTTAAGGCTGCAGTTTGGCGTGGTGCAGCGCGCATACATCAACCGAATTTCGATAGCTTCATTCTGCGGAGAATGGACTAAAACCCTTTATAATATTCGCTGGAATATTTTTGCCAGATCCTCTTCATTTATACGTTTTCAGCGGGTCTACTATATGAACTTTTGCTAGCACATAACGAAAAATTTCTTTTCATGGAGAAAGACTCAAAAATCAATGTACACGCATTGGGAATGCCTTAAAGTGACCCCTATTTCCGCTATCTGCGTCAGATTTTAGGATCCTTCAGAGTGAATATCTGCAGTTTCAAAATATATATTTGCCGTGGTTTAATTGCTTCTTGAAGCAGGAGGCTCAAACTTGCGTCTTAGGTTGCGTAGAAAGTGAAATTAGGAGTGAGTTCCATACGTTTTTGATACACTTATTGCGATTTCAAAGTCATTTCCCCCAACGGATATTATCTTTCTAACAAAGGTTTATGACGTACCCATTAGTTGCAGAAAATTCTGATTTTTCGACTTATTGTCACCTTCTGGTCAAATTATATCATAAGCACCATACAACGTTTCAAAATTTCCACGCCATTTTTTTTTTCACAGAAAAATTGTTCAACGAAGCTGTCCCAAAATTGCACTTAAAATTCAGTAAAACTTTCGAAGAGATTCAACCAACAATCTCTCTGTAAAAAAATAAAATGGCGGCGGAAATTTTGAAACATTGCATGGCACTTGTGATACTTTGTCAAGGAGGAGACGATATTAGTAGGTAAGTAGGTAGGTATCAATGACGTATTTTATTAAAACTTAGTAATGGATTTCAATGCTTATTTTCGTTCTTATTTACAGAGAGTGTTAGGAATTTCATGGAAATCATGTTAGAGAATATTCAGTCTGGGGCTGTCACTCAGGATCAAGCGGTTGAGGAGGCTATTGAAATCTTTTTGTCCGTAAGTAGTTAAAAACTGACAGTCTTACATTAAAGCATTCGAATTATCTCAAACAACTCATTTTCAAAGCGATTATAAATTCTTGTAGACAACGGTGTGGCAAAGTTAAGTGATACATGCTGTGAACTACGAATCCCTAAGATTCACATTTGGTCTACATTTTGCAATTAGAATCTACAGTTTGTGGCTCAAATTAGAAACAGCGTATGTACCCTTAGTTTCTCCAGGTACATAAGTGTTTTTTTAACAGAGGAGTCAAAAATTGTAGTTCCCAGTACAGCAAAATGTGGTCCCTTTGAACAATATTTTCTTTGTTTCTAGGGTTCTACGACAACCGCTGGAATTATGTCGTGGGTGTTCCAGACGTTAGCGATGTGGCCAGAGATTCAGCGTAGAGTGCATCAAGAAATCGTAGAAAACTGCAACGGTGATGAAGTCACTACAAACGATCTCTCGAAACTGGTCTATTTAGAAATGGTCATTAAAGAAACTCTTCGACATTACACAGCTCCATTCATAGCGCGGCATATAGACGAGGACCTCAAAGTTAATGGTAATCATAATCAATGTCTTTTCAAATTTTTCGGAAATTTTTCTTTTTGGGTGATATGCATCATGCCCAGAAACTGCGTCTCCAGGCGAGAAGTATTTTTCTGGACATAGGTAGTAATATATCAGTGGCGATTTTGAATGTTGGCAACATTGTTTTTCCTGCATTTAAATCCATTGAAAATATCGATTTTAAGCGATGCAAGCTGCCTCACCAAGAATCGATTGTTTTACATGCACTTGAATAGAGGGAAGACACTGTCGCCAAGTTTTAAGAATCGCCACTATTTCGATCTAAATGTATAATCAATTCTCAGGCTCTCAGGAGAACAATCGAATTTTTGGGTTGACATATCATGTATCGTCTAAGGATACATTGTAATTCATAAATTTCAGCATGCGTGTCACAACTGTTACCACTAAGATCATTCCTAGTTAAAATGGACCGCGTTTAGCAAAAAGGAGCCATTCCATATCAGTTATTGCCAAATTTAACTGGGAAGTTTAATTTTTCTCAAGAGAACGTTCGTGGGAATCCCTTTGCAAATTTTAATGAATTTGCTTCGTGCAGAAAATTCACTGAAATTTGCACGAAAATCCGCAGAACCATTTTCACGTAAAACAGTATGTTTCTTAATAAAATTAGGCAATATCCTTTCTACTTAATGCGGTCCAAATATCATATTGAATCTGGTATTAGGCGAAATCGCATCATCATTTCAGTAGTACCTCATATGTTCATTCATAATTTACTTTTTACTATGCACCTTTCAAAGGCAGTTCAGTCATAATCCGTCTTAATTTGTTCGAACTTTTCAATAGACTTTTTACAATCGTCAAGATTACATTCATTGTCATTTTAAGTAATTCTGTGTTGACATCATCTCTACAAGTCTACGTTGCACACGTGAAGTTGTTCGTCAAATCAAAACTATGCGCTTTATTCCGAGTTAGTGGTATAAAAATTCATCAGTGTAGTTTATTATATAGGTATTTTAATCACTTATCGAATATATGTGGCGTATTTTTTTTATTTATTCCATCAATCATTTCTCACTAAAATGCTTGGAAAAGTACCGTTGGATATTCTCTCCAGTACAAATCCTTTGCTCCTGTATACATCGTCACCTTCCGGCCAAAGTATCACAATCGCGCCATGCGACGCCTCAAAATTTCTGCCGTCATTTTACTTTTTACAGAAATTGTTGGTTGAATCTGTTTGAAACTTTCACTGAATTTGATCGTCAGGACAAAGGAAATTTGGTGAAATTTTCTAGGCGGATCCAGCAAATTTGCAGCATCATTGTTTCTCTTCCAATAATTGTACCTATGGAAATGTATTGATTCTCGGAGGGGCCAGGTGTGCCGACAAGAAGTGAATTATTTAACATAGGTTTAAAGGGGGAAATCCGGTGTTACCAAATTGCTGGATCAGCCTATGTATTCTTTATTTATTTTACAGAAGAAACGACCATTCCGGCGGGGATGAACGTTTTGTTAGTGACCTTTTCCATGCACCATGATCCAAATTATTGGGAAAGACCTGGGGATTTCTATCCAGAACATTTTTCGGCTAAGAATGAATCAGCGAGACAAAAAGGCGTTTTCCTACCTTTGTCCGGTGGCCCAAGAATCTGTGTTGGTAAGTATGAAAATATTTCATGGCCCTATATACCCAAGTAGCATTTTTCAACGGAAAAATCGCGATTTTTCTTCGATTTTATCGGCGATAAAATCGCTAGGATCATCAACATCTGAGCGTTTATCCTCGATATTTTCGCGATTTTATTGCGATTTTATCGAGATAAGATCGAGCATAATCGCTCAGATGTCGATGATCCATGCGCGATAAAATCGCCAAAAAAATGGTATTTGCGCTGTCAGCCGATTTCCGTCAGGTTCACCTGTCAGGTCCTTTGACGAAGACGAGCGCAAAATCCCCAGAGCCTCCGCAGAGACTCGAGCCCGAGTCGCAGCGGTGGTAAGCTAGCACATTGCCACTAGGCTATGGCCACTATATAGCTTAAGAGTGCGAATTGAAGCCTCTTACATGGATCGACGCTTCGCAACCTTACAACTTTTGTCATTGCGTAGACTGACACCGAGTTTTCATTGGAATTTTTTTTTATTTCCCCTACTCTGTATTTTATTTCATACTTTGAAGTAAGGTTGGTAAAATAAGGTTCCGATTGGACCGAGGTCCGATTAAATCGCAATTTATCGCGATCACTGCTACTTGAGTACATCTTGCTGACAAAAAAGTAAATCATTATGAACTAAACCCACCATGTTCAATAAGGCTGAAACGCTTTTGTTTGTCAGACTGAACTACGATAGACGTTTTGGCTCGTATAATGGACATGTTATTCGGCTCAAGGCTCAACTCGCTCGCTCAGTTTGACAAACTTAATGTTTGGCCTATTTGTTTACATTCGATGCTACTTTTACCTATGCATTTTAATCTGATCGATTAGACCCCAATTATGCAAGAGAAAACAACCAATTGTGCCTCATTTTAAAAGCAACAAAATTATTGTTTTGTAGCCTCGTCCTGGCGTTAATTTAATATTTAAAGCTGATCATTTAGCAAACTCCTGGATCATAGCTATCACAGTGGAGTGATTATTGCTACCAAAACTATAAAGATACTCACCAAAGAGTCCACTTAGGACCAAAATTTTGTGAAACCAATTATAACAATCACCCTTAGAGGTCTTGAAGCAAAAAAAAATGCGACAAACATGTACCCAAAAACGGTTTGCAGAGGGCGAGTCCATGGAACCTGTGGACTTAAAATCGCGAAAAATCAAAATTTTAGCTGATCCTGATTTCGAGATACCGTAATTTGAAATTATCATTGTAAATGCAAGCTTTTTACTGATTTTGATCAGCTTCTTTATTTATTTGTCCATTGAATCGGTGTTGATCGGTTCTCGTTTTTATTTTCCGTTCGATTCATGCAGATCGAATACATACCCTCTTGTTACATGTAGACATCACATACTTTTTTTTAACTGAACAATTCGCCCTCTGCTGCGTCTGCAGCAATTGTTGTAACGCATATGTTCTGCGTGCTGATTTCAGCCCATTACATGCTCGACTCTCTGAAGGCGTTTTGTATGCGCAAGTAGCGCTGTCTGTCGAGGAAAGAACGAAGTAGGGATTGAGCGATTCGTTCAATCTGATTTATATGGTTCTCCGACAGGGTGCTCTACTTTTGCACATTAAACGCCCTCAAAGAGTCAAGTATGTAATGAACTGAGATCAGCACGTACAACACAATCGTGACCATTGCGGCGGACGCACCTACAGGTGAATTGAATACAGCCGTATAATACACGTTAAAACACAGTGTAGATCTTTAATTACTATTATTACCAATAGAGTTGTATTTTATGGTCATTTTGAGGGGGATTCTTGAAAAACTTTACAACGGAAACGAGAAAATAAACTAAGTTTAAATGCAAAGTAAAATATATCGCGTTACAAATTTTCAGTCTTGACGCGAAGTTTAGCCTAAAGATCTCACCAAGACTGAGGAAGCGCCAACAGAAGCAAAAGAAAATTGCGACGAAAAAGTACCCTAGAACGGTTTGCAGGGGCCGAATCTATGGTGCGTGTAGGGTTCTCGGTGCTTCGAAAATTTACTCCGGACACTTCCACAACTTTTTTCCGACCGATATCCCAAAACGTCAATTCCTTCTATGAATCCGAATTGTTCTAATACATGTCTTATTTTGACGTGGATTTTGAATGATTTAGAAGAATTATTGGTAAGACTTCACAATGCTTCACTTAATTCTGCAAGTCTTCGACGTGTTAATGAAATTCAGGGCCAAGGATCAACTAAGATCTAAAAGATCACCTGAATTACACGGAAATGAAATCTTTTGTGTTTAGATGCTGAATTTGTAGCTCTCAGCTTTTTTTTAAAAGTGGGCTTCAAAGTTGATCGAATCCCGAGTAAAATTCTGCCAAGACTGAAAATTTGTAACGCGATATATTTTACTTTGCATTTAAACTTAGTTTATTTTCTCGTTTTCGTTGTAAAGTTTTTCAAGAATCCCCCTTAAAATGACCATAAAATACAACTCTATTGGTAACAATAGTAATTAAAGATCTACACTGTGTTTTAACGTGTATTATACGGCTGTATTCAATTCGCCTGTAGGTGCGTCCGCCGCAATGGTCACGATTGTGTTGTACGTGCTGATCTCAGTTCATTACATACTTGACTCTTTGAGGGCGTTTAATGTGCAAAAGTAGAGCACCCTGTCGGAGAACTATATAAATCAGATTGAACGAATCGCTCAATCCCTACTTCGTTCTTTCTTCGACAGACAGCGCTACTTGCGCATACAAAACGCCTTCAGAGAGTCGAGCATGTAATGGGCTGAAATCAGCACGCAGAACATATGCGTTACAACAATTGCTGCAGACGCAGCAGAAGGCGAATTGTTCAGTTAAAAAAAAGTATGTGATGTCTACATGTAACGAGAGGGTATGTATTCGATCTGCATGAATCGAACGGAAAATAAAAACGAGAACCGATCAACACCGATTCAATGGACAAATAAATAAAGAAGCTGATCAAAATCAGTAAAAAGCTTGCATTTACAATGATAATTTCAAATTACGGTATCTCGAAATCAGGATCAGCTAAAATTTTGATTTTTCGCGATTTTAAGTCCACAGGTTCCATGGACTCGCCCTCTGCAAACCGTTTTTGGGTACATGTTTGTCGCATTTTTTTTTGCTTCGAGACCACTGTGCACCATATTTTACCTCCATATGTGTTGTTTAGTTACTAAATAACTAGTCGAGACGAATAAGTTCAACATTTTATTGGAGTAGAACCACAGTAGAACTTAGCACTACATTGCTACAAAGAGTATATAGATAGAGTAAGAGAGAGAGACTCACTCACTCGGGGAGTACAGACTGACTTCGCGTACAGAGGGACAGTTCTTGTATTTGGATTACAGATTAAAATAACAACACGCTCCCTTAATCTAAATACTAAATAGAAATACATTGTGTGGTTACGGGAAAGAGGAAAATACAAAACTTGTTTTTTAAATCAGGTTGATAGCATCTCTACAAAATCTAAGTTTTTCGCCAGGTAATGGCTTAGTCAAAGCATCTGCTGGCATTTTGTCAGTCGACAAATACTTTACGACAATAGTACCCTTTTCAACGCATTCTCTAATATAATGGAAACGAACATCAATGTGCTTTGAACGATTATGGAGAACTGGATTTTTGGATAAATTATCAGCGCCTTGACTGTCACTAAACAAAAGGGTCGTTGGTCTATCAACATTTAGGATTTCATTTAGTAGACCTCTCAAAAATACAGCTTCCTTGCTCGCTTCGCTTAGGGCAATATATTCAGACTCGGTTGAGCTTTGAGCAACACAAGATTGCTTCTTCGACATCCAGGAGATCGGACCACTTGACAGACAAAATACATAGCCAGAATATGATTTGCGATCAATTTTATTCTGAGCCCAATCGGCGTCAGCAAAACCTATGAGGTCCCTGTCGTCTTTTTCATAACATAAACTTAAGTTTTTAGTGCCTTTAAGGTACCGTAGCACTCGTTTGGCTGCTTGCCAATGCTTAGTTGTAAACTTAGTGTTAAATTGACTGAGGTAAGCTGTCGCATAAGCAATATCAGGGCGACTGTTGACTGCCAAATACATTAAAGATCCAATTAATGATTGATAAGGGACATCAGGGGGACAGACTGTCTCCTCACTTGCTTCAAACTGAAGATTGGCAATCATAGGGGTACTAGCAGGGTTACAATTTGTCATATTAAAACGGGTCAACAGATCTTCAATAAAAGCAATTTGATTTACTTTTATCATGTTGGCTGATTGATCAACATTTAGACCTAAAACTGCTCTCGCAGTGCCTAAATCTTTTATGTCGAAATTGTTTTGCATCTCTTTTTTGAGGTTTTTTACCGTGATTTCATCATTAGAAAAAATCAGGGAGTCATCGACATGAACGGCTATAATAGTATACTGATCTTTTGAAATATTGAGGTACACACAAGGTTCATATTTAGACTTTATAAAACCTAACTTTAACATAACTGAGTCGTACATTCCGTACCAGACACGTGACGCTTGCTTTAAACCATACAAAGCTTTTGAGAGTAGGCAAACTTTGTCTTTGTCATTTTTATCTACAAAGCCTTGAGGCTGTTCCATGTAGATAGTTTCGGATAAGTCTCCGTTTAAAAAGGCATTATTAACATCAACATGATCAATCTTTAAACCCAATTTTGCAGACAAACTAAAGAGCAATCTGAGAGAAGATTTACTTATGACTGGAGAATATGTCTCATCATAGTCAACGCCAAACTCTTGTGTGAACCCTTTAGCCACTAACCTAGCCTTGAACTCAGGATCACCATTAACTGGATGTTTAATTTTATACACCCACTTACATTTAATAACATTGACATCTTTTGGTCTTTCGACGAGTCTCCATGTGTTGTTGTGGTGCAGAGCCTGCATTTCTCTCTCCATCGCTAGTTGCCACTGTGCGCTGTCGTTGCTTTTAACTGCTTGGCTGTAGGTCACTGGAACAGATTCGACTTCATCACTGAGATACATCACGTAATCTGGAAACTCCTTTTTCTTCCTTTGCCTAATGGGGAAGCGACGTTCTTCATCGGTGTTGTCATCATTCAAGCCCGTGTTGCTGTCCAGACAAATTCGCACTAAATCTTTGGAACTTTTAATTTCAGATTCAGCATTTTCTGATTTCAGTTTCGCACTCTGTCCGTTTTCAATGAACACTACATCGCGTGATCGCACTATCTTCTTTGGATTCTCTGGGTCAATGAGACGATATCCTTTCGATTCTTCTGAATAACCGACAAAAATGTGCTTTTTACTCTTTGCATCCAGCTTCTTCCTCAATTCATCTGATACATGCGCATATGCTTCACAGCCAAAAATTCTTAGATGAGATAGATCCACTTTCTTTCCACTCCAAACTTCTTCAGGTGTCTTACCGACAACAGCCCTGTGGGGGGAACGATTTTTCAAGTAGACAGCTGTGTTGGCTGCTTCCGCCCAAAAGTCTTTTGGAAGTTTGGCATCTTCTAGCATGCAGCGAGTCTTCTCCATGATCCAACGATTCACCCTCTCGGCAACACCATTTTGTTGCGGTGATCTGGGGACAGATTTTTGATGCAAGATACCATTCTGCTGCAAAAACTTGGCCATGGCGTTGCTGATGTATTCCCCGCCGTTATCCGATCTGAGAATTTTTATTTTCTTATCTGTTTGGTTTTCGACAAAGGCTTTAAAGTTTATAAAATGGTCATAAACCTCATCCTTCGTTCGGAGAAAATAGATAAAAACCTTTCTAGAGAAATCATCAGTGAACGTGAGGATATAGTTCTTGCCACTGAAAGACTGCACACTCATGGGCCCACAAAGGTCGGTGTGAATGATGCCCAACAGATCTTTCGCACGATTGCAGCATATTTTTTTGAACGGTTTGCGGGCATGCTTGCCCATAACACAAGGAATACACTTGCTGGAATTTTGTAGGTCATGCTTGTCGAAACTTATGCCGGTAGCCATACCTTTGTTCAAGAGGTCCATTCCATACCTGGGTAGATGGCCGAGACGCCGGTGCCAGATATCAGGTGATACACTTGAAGTAGGAGCATTGAGAGCTTGAGGCTCAAGAACCTCCGTCACTGATTGCATCGCTGCACTGTCGCGCACTAAGTTTAAGCGATACAGGCCGTTAATGCAGTCTGCGGATGCAACTGGTTTTCCTGAATAGAGCGCACCTTCCCGAAAAATTTCACAGCGGCGAGCACGGAAAATAACTGCGAAACCTTTATTTACCACGGCACTAACAGAGAGTAGATTCGTAGAAAGATTCGGCACATATGTTACATTTGAGATCGCTGTTAAAGGGCTGTCTTCAAAGGAAACTTGCACATTTCCACAACCAGCAGTATGCATCTTTTCACCATTTGCTGCGGTGACTTCCATACTGGAATTGGAATCACAGTAATCACTCAACCATGACTTAGTATTTGTCATGTGCGCTGAAGCACCTGAGTCAACATACCAATCAGAGCTACTGTACTGGACACACAGACTGGTTAAAAGTGATGTGTCATCCTTCGCTGTCTTCTGCTTCTGGTCAGTCGGGTCTGGAGTACTCTTCTTCTCGTTGGCCCAAGAGTTATTCTTCTTCTTTGGCTTGTTCCGACACTGAGACTTGAAATGTCCAAGCTGATTACAGTTGTAACACTTAACTGGTTTTCCTGTCGCTTTAGAAAGCCTTTTACCGCCTGAGTATAGGGCAGATTCTTCGCTAGCGGTGTGTCGGTCGATTTCATTGATGAGTTTCGTTTTAATGAAATCACTTGAAATCTTCGCAGATGAATTTTCAATTGCCATGACTAGAGGGTCATATTCAACAGGTAATCCACTCAACATAATCACTCCAACAAATTCATCATCAATGGGTTGATTGATATCAGCTAATTTTTGAGTGGTTGACAGAATTTCATCTACATATTCTTCCATAGAGTTATGGTGTTCCCTTTTGATGGAAAACAACTTTCTAAGTAAGGACAATCTGCGAGACAGACCTGTGTCTTCATATGCTTTAATTAAAGCATCCCATGCTTCCTTAGCTGTTTCACACTTTCTGACATGCGAGAATACACAAGGTTTTACCGTGAGACAAATCTTGGCCAGAGCTTTCGCATCATTCTTGGCCCGTTTGCTTTCAGATGTCTTGTCATCTTCTGAGTAGCCAGTTACTGCTTCCCATAAGTCTTCATGAATCAGCAACATTTTCATGGTAAATTTCCAATTCGAGAAATTCTCTCTTCCGCTGAGTTTTTCAATTGAGATTGGCGTTGTTTTGGTGGCATCCATCTTGTGAAACTAGAGCCGCGCACACGCGATCACGTTAACGCACAAATAACCTCCGGAAAAACGCGGAAAATGCAATTCTTGAAAATTAAACGTGACTGGGCCCATAACCTGTTGTTTAGTTACTAAATAACTAGTCGAGACGAATAAGTTCAACATTTTATTGGAGTAGAACCACAGTAGAACTTTTAATCTGTAATCCAAATACAAGAACTGTCCCTCTGTACGCGAAGTCAGTCTGTACTCCCCGAGTGAGTGAGTCTCTCTCTCTTACTCTATCTATATACTCTTTGTAGCAATGTAGTGCTAAGTTCTACTGTGGTTCTACTCCAATAAAATGTTGAACTTATTCGTCTCGACTAGTTATTTAGTAACTAAACAACAATATGCTTCTATTTTGATCTATGCTATCTTTTTTCTATTGACAACCATTTGCTTTTTTAGGAAACAAATACGCCATGATATCAATGAAGTATCTCATAGCAAATACTCTCCTTCATTACGAGTTCCGTTCCGATCGGAAACCACCCGCAGATATCCGAGAAGATGACTTCCGTATTGTATTTGTCCTGTGTCCGACACACGGGTTCTCGGTCACAGTCACGGACAGGAATCTCAGAAAATGCAGTAAAACTGACAGTGTGATCCCAAGTCTACAGCAGAGCACCGTGAAACATCAGGAAGGTCACATCATCAGCGAATTTATAAGACTAATGGGACCTAAAGATAGGGTACTGCGATAGCTTGAGTCCCTCATATAGTGAATCCATGGCCAAATGTGGAATCGCGTATCCCCGTTTGCGACTTTGGAGACTTCCAAGCATGCTTTCTTTTTTTTTAGGAAAACACACGCATCCAGCTAAGTGACATCATGACAGTACCAGCACCGCTTAGAGTTTCTAATGTTTATTTATCAATAATTTATACAACATGTAATTTATTCATAAAATGGAAAGTTTTTAATAATAGTTTCGCTTTTTTATTTTAGATGTAAAAATTTGATTTAAAAAGGAGGGGTATCGACAAGGGCCTTTTTTGCCCCCCCCCCCATAGAATGTGGAAATGTATGCGGGTTTTCCAAGTTCACTCAATGTATTTTACGGAAATAATCATGATTTGCTATCCATAGGCCACTGGATACGTGTTAAACGGTTGCCTGAACATTGGTGTGCAGGCGTATTTTAGCGAAAAATGCGTGTTTTTCTATCACTCCGAGGCTTTTTTGATACCGAGCACATTGTCTAACTGAGCTTTTGATATGTTATCAAGGAGGCTTAAGGACGCATTTTAACCCTGGTTTGGTTCTAGTTAGATGATGTGCTATAGGGGGCCAAAAAAGGCCCTTATCAATACCCGTCCTTTGATTTAAAAAAATTGTTTTCTTATAAAATTGAATTGGTAATTAGTATGATAATTGATATGGTAATTAGTATGGTAATTAGTATGGTAATTGATATACTAGTGTGATATTATGGATAATTATGGTGGGGAAGCCTTATGATCATGTGGCATAGTTCGATTGGAGCAGAAACGTCGAGGTCTTCAAGATCTTGAGTAACTTTCACCGCAATTTCAACGGCATATAAATCTATAAAACGTGCTTCAATCCCACTTCAAGAACTTGCTCTTGTGGGTTTTCCGTGTTTGAGCGGACAGCGAATGTAATATTCAACGAGCCATTTAAGCGTGAAATTATCGTTTGAGCAACGTCAATAAAGGCCAATCCAGCATTCACACACAACTCGCCGGAATCCTCCAAGCCCGAGATACCATCGGCTTCAGTTAAAGAAGCAAAGTTTCTTGACCCTTGGACGTACGCCAAATAAATTTGAATACAAACAGTAGGCGAGAATTTGAGCCAGAAACCTGCCGCTCCACAGACGAGTGAGGACACTCCGTAATAATTAGAGAAAATATCAGATAGTTTTGAGGGTTCCATACGTTATTTCTAGGCAAGCTAGAAACGCGACTGAAAACTTCGCCAAAGAGGACAGAAAGCTCCTCCAAGTCATGTTCAAAGATCGTTAGATTCGCGTCACAAGGTCTCCGCCTCCGGTCTTTTATTGTGTTGTTAGGAGTGTTTCCATAAGTTATGCAATAATTTGGTAGTGTCGGCCAAATATCATAGTTCACGTTATCTTCTCGTAATGCGTGATTCGAAAATTTTGAGCTACTTTGAGGGTTTAATACAACATTTCGAGTTCCTAAAATCAAATTCATGATGCTATGATAATCTTCCAGTAAAAACAGCATGTTTTTTGGTCGTTTGTCCGTGAAGTAGCTTTTGAAGCTCTCTACATTATTTACCTGAGAGGTAGGGATCATATTTGTTTGCAAATCGTGAATCAAATCAATAGGACCAAAATTCAACCCTAACTTTACGATATGAAAGGACTGGTGATGTGAGCGTTCCATTGTAAAAATACATACCTTTGATAAAATTGCACGGTTCTTTATCGTCAAGAATATGACGCTGTATGCTGGGCCCAGTGCAAGATAGGAATGGAGTAATTGACATTATTAATTTAAGCCCGATATACTTTTGGAATTCCCTCCGTTTATTCTGGATTTTTTGCGGGATCATTTTTAAGAACCATGGGGCACAATAATAATAAGGTCGGAAGATTCAATGGGTAACAACAGCAAGACATAGAATATAACAATGACCGGTGGACTAAAACGTTCGCAAAATTGGAGGTCATCCTGAGATCCACCAAAAGAAAACAGAGCTCTTTAGAATTTCTACTTACCATACGGCCGTGCTAAGGAAGAACGCCGTATGAGCCTTTAGACGTTGCCAGATTTCCGTTAATGAACACCAAATAGAAACTGTAAATATTATTGTACAAATTTTTCGGATAATTTTTCTCGCAATTTTATCGAAAATATCTAAACAATTCGAGAAAAAATATACATTATTTACCTCAAAAATACATGTTTTATCTTAGGAAATTTGGCAACTCTGGAATGTTCGTACGGCGTTCTTCCTTAGCATAGCAGAGTACGTCAGACTATCCACTTTTATGTCATCTGAAGAGTGGCAATAACATCCAATTTTAATACCAAAACGTCAAACCCTTTTTCATGGTAAGTTTTTCTTGTCTATAACTTGAAAAATATTCATGTTTTTTTACCCTCACTTCATGTCTGGATTGTGAGCAACTTTTTTGTGAAATGGTATATATTTACGTCAAAATAACAGATATCAAGTTTATGTCCTGTTTTGAACGTTTCGAAAAGCAATCGGAAATGTCTCCAACAATGAATCATTTAACACTTGTCCACTTTTATAATTTACACTTGAAACTGGAGGAAAATATTCGCTGTGTTTAATTGTAAGTAAATTGTGTAAAGACGGAAAACCTTCAAATTTGAAAGTTTTTCCTGGATTTGGAATTTAACTTTTGTTTTCAATGTTGGTGTTTCCTCGTCACGATACATTGAAAGCTATGAGCATAGTTCTCAAACAGCCGCGCAAAGTTTATAATGATGGTGAAATTCCCAAAGCACGTATCTCGGTATAAGACCTAGCAAACTTTCTCTTTTGCATTTCAGGACAAAATTATGCGATGATGGAAGAGAGAAACATTTTATCATATAATATACGCAATTGTGTACGAGAGTCAATGGAAAAAACCGAGGACTTAAAACTTTCATCTTCAATGGTACTCCGCTCCCTGAAGAAAATCCTTGGCTTTGATTATAGCAAGGCAAAATAATGAACGGCATTGAAAATAAATTAGTTTTTCTTTATCTAGCCTCTTTTGTTTCAATTACTTTCAATTAATTGCCCGGCAGTAAGAATGTTTTTGTGAGTTAATGAGCAGTGTGTCACAATTATTAATATTATGAAACGATATCTGTGCCTTGAAATAAAATACTCTATAGGAACCACCCATTTTAACCAATAGAATCGCTCCATACTTATTACGTCTTCAATGTCTATCGCTTTGTCTATCAATTTTAATTATCAGCGCGCAGGCCCCCGAAAAACAAGAAAATTCGAAGTATGGCGGCACAGATCGTGGCACCATATATCAGCTGAAAATGTTGAAATGTCATCATTTACCCAAAGTTCAGCGAAAATTTGAGCTTTGAAGATTTTTCACTATATCAATAATAATCAGCCCGCAGGTTGGGATACAAATCAAGGAAACGCACCGCAAAGTAAAGCGCCAAATGCCTGATTACTCAGCACCTAGATTGTACGTACTGGCAGGAACGAGTATCTGTCAGTGCGTCTTCGTGCGCCTTCAATCCAGCGACAGGCAACTGTGCATGCATTATGTCACTTTGTTCTACGGCAAATTGTCCGGCTTTTGCTGCGACCTGACTCCGTCGTTTCTTTCACAAGAGATTGTAGCTCCTTTTCAATGTTGCCAGAATTCCCTTCGAATATTCCATTTTTGCCAGGAGAATGTTGAGCACTTGGAACTTAAAGTTTCACTGATTTTTCATTTGATCCTATGCAAAAACTGAACCATTTCGGACAAAAGTTGCACAAGTACATGCTTGTAAAAAATTGAATTTTTTTTGTCCATGTTGCAACCTCGGAATGGAGTTACGTTCCTTCGTTCGGGACACGACGGGTTGTGGCGTCACGCTTGCGCTTTAACACATATCAGTTAAATTAGCTTTAGTATAGCAGTTGCGAGGCGTGAACGATCGATTATCGATTTTTTCTCATTTAAAGCTATGGTAAAACATCGACTATTAACGTGTTTGTTGCGAACACCCTGCAATCGATCCTTTCCCATAGGTTTAAATGACAGATCAATCGATAAGTCGCAAAGTACGCCACGCCACTATAATATAGAGCTTTGCTCCGTGGCACATTGCTTGGACTTTTTCATTTGGCTTGTGTGTGGTGCCTTGCTCGAAAGTTTAACAAAGCTTTTAAGGTGGTGTTCACGACAGTTATAAATTCTTCAAAACCCCCTGAACGAAAAACGCTGAACTATGCGGCGCTGTGCACCAGCGCATGCGCTGTTTTATTAACAACTGATAGAATTACGGCTGGTGTAATCAGCCAGTTTGTGTCACAAACTTTGTGACAGTTTTCACCGAGAAGATAACGACTTGAAATTTGAGTCTTTAGTCGGTTCTAAGAATGAGTATAAAGACGACCCTGAGACCCTTAACTTTTCGCAATTTATATGTACATTTAATGTCCTTTTTCCGTTTATTTCAGGACAAAAATATGCAATGATGGAGGAAAAAATCTTATTATCGAACTTAATACGCAACTTCACGATGGAATCAATGGACAAAACGGAGGACTTAAAACTTACGTTTGCCATGGTTCTTCGTTCTTTAAACGGAATCAATATAAAATTTAAATGTCGATAAATGATCAAATATAGATTATAATATAACACATCTCTTGCCTGCCTCTGGATTTGTTTCCTCCCAACCTTGTGCAGATATACATACTGATTGCTAAAGTATAAAAATATGCATCTGTACTTGCATTCACTCATTACTGTTGCGTTAGGAATGAGTAGCTCCATAAAAACTTGTTTTTTTTTTTCTCTCTCTCATATTCGAGACGTATTACCTGCTTATGCAGTACTAATGCACCGATTCAAGCTTTTATACCTGCAAGCTTCCACATTCTTTGTTCTTCATTAACAGACACCGTTAACAAAAATGGGCAGGAATTTTGCGATGTCTGTACTAGATTCTCCGTCTTAGGTCATGGCATGCCTCTGATTTTTTGGATAGTTTCTTTTTTTGTATTGGAATTCTTAAAATGTTTCTTTTTCATAAAGTTTTATGCAGGGTGGGCCAAAAGTAACCGAGAAAGGTCTAAAACTTTTGAAGAAATATAGAAATGAAAAGCCGGGGGTTACCATTTCAAAATTTCGAGCCTAAAATCTATTGATTTGGAAGTATCCATTTAAGTTACCCCTTTTTAACAATTTTTTGCATTTAGCAAAATATTGACAATTTTCTTTCAAAATCTGAA